CTTTCCTTTCCGATGATGGCATCCCCCAGCCGGCTGAATTTTTCCTGTCTTCTGATCCATCTGCAATCGTCGAGCATACGAAGAAGGTCCTCTATCTCGAAGATGATGATATCGCTCATGTGCATGAGGGACAATTGAACATTCATCGCCTCACAAAAGATGATGGTACTTCGAACGTTCGCGCTATTCAGACGATTGAACTCGAATTGCAGGAGATTATGAAGGGCAAGTTCGACCACTTCATGCAAAAGGAAATCTTCGAGCAACCTGAGTCTGTGATAAATACCATGAGAGGACGGCTGGATGTTGCAAACAAGCAAGTTACACTTGGTGGCCTGCGGCAGTACATTTCTACTATCCGCCGCTGCAGAAGAATTATATTTGTTGCCTGTGGAACTAGCTACCATTCATGCATGGCTGTGCGTGGAGTCTTTGAAGAACTTACTGAGATTCCTATTTCTGTTGAACTTGCTTCCGACTTTCTGGATAGACAGGCGCCAGTATTCCGTGACGACACGTGCGTTTTCGTTTCTCAGTCTGGCGAGACTGCTGACTCGCTCATGGCCTTGCGCTACTGTCTCGAACGCGGGGCATTAACCGTTGGCATTGTTAATGTTGTAGGGTCCTCCATCTCACTTCTCACTCACTGCGGTGTGCACATCAACGCTGGACCTGAAATTGGTGTAGCTTCTACCAAGGCCTACACGTCCCAGTTTGTTGCTATGGTCATGTTTGCTTTGTCTCTCAGTGAGGATAGAGCCTCTAAGCAGAAGAGGCGTGAGGAGATTATGGAGGGCCTTTCTAAGGTCTCTGAGCAATTCAAGGAGATTTTGAAACTCAACGAACCCATCAAACAATTGTGTGCAAACTTTAAAAACCAAAAGAGTTTGCTCTTGCTGGGCAGGGGTGGTCAATTCCCTACTGCTCTTGAAGGTTAGTGACTACTCGTACGGTGTATTATGCTTAGCTCATGCGTCATATAGGTGCACTTAAAATCAAGGAGATTTCATATCTCCATTGCGAGGCTGTTATGTCCGGCGAGTTGAAGCATGGTGTTCTTGCCCTTGTCGATGAAAACTTGCCTATCATCATGATCCTTACAAGGGACAACCTGTTCACAAAGTCGTTGAATGCTTATCAACAAGGTGAGTTGAAAACTAGCAGTTGAGTAGATGTGGTTATTTTGTCTAATACTTTAATAGTCATTGCCAGAGGTGGCCGTCCTATTGTGATTTGTAATTCCGATGACCCGGAATTCTCTTCGGCTCAAACCGTGAAGATCGAAGTTCCGAAGACTGTTGATTGCCTGCAAGGTCTCCTGAATGTCATCCCCTTGCAGCTGATCGCTTACTGGCTGGCTGTGTCTGAGGGTCTCAATGTCGATTTCCCTCGCAACCTTGCGAAGTCGGTCACTGTTGAGTAGATTGTCGCTATTGACACAGCGAAGTTTGGCCTATGGAGGTTGCAGAGTCTTATCGAGCATCCTTGCTATCTCTCGAATGAGTTTTCGCGCTTTTTTTTTTTCTTCCCTAATTTTCATAATTGTCCGGTAGAATGCAATGTTGCAGGCAATGATATCTCTGGTATGACTCTTCAATGACCTGACTAGGATACTAGTGGGTTGAACACGCTCTTTGTGCTACCCAATGCAGGATAATGCTTTATCCTTATTTCCATGTAGATCGATCTGTAATTGTCACTAGTTCAACACTCGGCGGATAGGTGCATGGTTATCGAAAAGTAATTAGTAGTACTACCTTAGTATTCAACAGTTACTACATATAGTTAACCATGAGTGGACACCCGACTATCCCCGTACAACAATACGACAGTAGTTGGAGTGAGGTTTGGTCAGTGCAGTAACCGCGCAGGTTCTCATGGTGGGATAGCCTATCAAGGTAGCCGTCCATTCCTACTTTAGAACGGTTATTTAATTTTGATACCTGACGTCGAAGTCATTCGACAACATAGATCGATAGAGATACCTTTGAAAGTTAGGATATACAATGATATCATATCGCTACTGTATTAGGAATCGGTACTCTACCGACGGTGAAATTGCCATCCTTATTCATCCCACTGACGGTCCCACCGCATCCTCTCTCTAGCGCAATACGCGGCGATCAGACAAGGTTTCATCTTAGCATAAATTTAAGTAGATGTCTAATATCTTATAATTAATGTTTCTTCTAAGATTGAGGCTATTTAGATGACAGTGGTAATGATACGGGCGGTGGTACTTTACAAAACAAGCACTCAACACAGTACAAAATATACTATCGGGAGCTTTGAAACGACTTGAAAACAAAGGTGCTAAGGTTGAACATAATCAAACAGCGCTCATGGTGACCTGGCAGAATTTTAGACTATGTAGTTCTCTAGATATACTGGGAATTACGTAATCATAACTCCTCTCCCACCAAGCCCGCGGGGTATTCCCTCCATATTCAATAACCATTGCACAAAGGCCTATATATTACTTACAGCTTTCTCAATTGACTGAGCCCCTTTAAACTGTGACAAATTTCAACCATGGCATCTTTGAAGGGTCCAGGAGCTACTCCAAGCTTTGACGGTACGAGAGGTACAGAAGAAGGGAGTTTTTAGCTCATCGCTTGCTTATCAGTTTCTATAGGCTCGGGGCTTCGAATTGCAATTGTTCATGCGAGATGGAATATGGGCATAATTGGTCCTCTCGTGGAAGGGGCAAGGAAGAGCCTTTTAGCAGCTGGTGTAATTGAGGAGCATATCACAACCCTCACTGTCCCGGGCAGCTATGAGTTACCATATGCCGCTCAGCGGTAAGTATAACTTGTTTTTATGCCTTACTACCAGGGGTTCATCCTGACGCCTGCTCCCTTTACTTCTAGGCTCTACGCAGCTTCTCAGCTGCAAGCAGCTAAGAGCTCGTCCTCCGGTGAGGGAATCAGTGCCACGGATCTGCTCTCTTCCTCTACCGCAGATATTAGTAAAGCGTCCCCGCAATCGCCAACATCCGCTACCACTCGGCCGTTTGACGCTATTATCGCCATAGGCGTCCTTATCAAGGGAGAGACCATGCATTTTGAATACATCGCAGATGCTGTCTCTCACGGATTGATGCGTGTTCAATTAGATTCGGGCGTGCCTGTCATTTTTGGGGTACTCACCGTTTTGACCGAAGAACAGGGTTTGGAAAGGGCTGGGCTAGGGAAGAAAGGAATGCATAATCATGGAGAAGATTGGGGTAATGCCGCCGTGGAGCTTGGAGCAAGAAGAAGAGAGTGGGCTGAAGGCAGAATTGCCTAGGGCTGTTTCGAAACTTCCAGGGAATTGATCGTTAGGGATTTGATGCGACTTGTAAGTTAGTATTTTAGTAGCAGGCCCTCATGGTCAGAGGTATAGGACTTACTATGTATGCGCAACATTATACTGGATTGACGACTTGCTGGAAATGAAAAATGCTTGTATTAGGATATTCTTAGATTCCGTCTTTGGTTTGCTCATTCTACTCCTCCATCCGCTCGCCTTGGTTGGTGCTATCCTTTGCTACTTCCTCTTCCTCCTCGTCTTCACCTTCTAGAGATCTCTTTGCCGCCTTTTCTGCTTCTTCGAGAAGTTGTTGGGGTACTTCTTCATGCCTACCATGGGTTGGCCCGTCTAGTGAGCTAATCCAAGACATTTCTAACTCGAAATCTTTGTCCTTGCTGTCCTCGTGCGCGACGTAGATGATTCGAGCTGCCTCTTTTACGGCATCAACCAAACTCAGGTTACCCGAACTTAGATCTAACTTCTCAAGTTCAGCCTTAGCAGCCTGTCTCCCCTTCCCGGTAGCGGCACCATAGTAACCCTTCGAAGCAGCAGTCAGCGCGCAGTAGCTAGTTTGGGATTGTTGATGTCTGCCTTACCCAGTACAGCCCACTTGGCTCAATCATGTATAAGCCTGGTCCTCCAGCCCTAGCCCCATCAACCTTACCCCCAGAGCCTGATTTAGGCCCACTGCCGACTTGACCGTCGACGGCAAGCTCGGCTTCAGAATCCCAGCCGCCCACAATAGCAGTCACACCAAAAGGTCGTACACTGGAGTAGAGGGTATAAGCTTGTACGTAGCTGCCCAGGCGATTCGACAGAGCAGACACTGGAATAGGGCCCTTGTATACGCTTCTCCACGACGCAGCCTCATCTCTGGCACGGGAAACAAAGTGTCGACCGTCTGGGACTAGACCGGCAGAGACCTATTTATTTCCATCCACGCATATCAGTAAAGAGGCTAATGAGCACGGCATGGGTTATTCCCACACCGGTCGAAGTTGGGCCGTGACATACAATACCAACGTGTCGATCGACTGTTGCTATTCTCTTATTTGCACCCGGCTTCAGAAGCTTGCTAGTAATGATCTTCTCGACAGCTAGCACGACACCGTCCTTGCATCTTATACCAATGGCTGTTCCTCCATTTTCAACCGCTTTAGCTGCATATTCCACCTATTGATATAGTTGACTTAGTGACTTGTCAAACTATGGGAAATCTTGGCCTATTAGCTACCTGAAAGTTGCGGCCATCTGGTGAGAAGACCGAATTAGAAAGGTCATAACCAGTACCGATGGACGTCTGTGTTATGATGATGTTAGTGAGTGTTTAGAAACCTTCGCGTAGTTGGAAACAGAAACGAACCATGGTCTTCACTAGTTTCGTTCGTCACAAGACAAGGGCAATCACTGCTTTCTTTCTAGAGTGGAAAACCAACAAGTAATATGTGAAACAACAATCTGATAGAAATAGTCACGGAGCAAGTGTAGCGAGAAGTGATGTTGGAAGCTCCTAATGATAAGCAAGGTAGTAACTACAGCCGGTATGTACGTATGTATGACCGCCCCTAGCTCCGCGTCACGGGGTTTCTGCCTACTCACTAGTAGGTATTCTAGAGTCACATGATACAGAAGAACATCCTCGAACTCACAGTATAATTATGCCGCTCCATTTCGTAACTTGCTGTATACCTACTTGGACTTCCTATTGGTTTTGGTCTGGATGTAAAGTGGCGCCAGTAAAATCCCACGACTTAGTCTAGTCTCAACTTAGTCGCCAGGGTAATTCGCCCGCTATAAGTGCCCAATCTGCCCGCATCTTTGGGCATCTGTGTCAGTCCTTAGCCGGTGGCAGTCTACGCTCAAGTAGTAGCATCTTCCATCCAAGAGGTTCATGCCGCCCCTCTTTCCAGCATGTTCAAGCGCTTATAATGGAACTTCTCACTCCGTGTGGAATTCTACTTCTTTGGACTGCTTCTGTCGCATATATCGCCTATGAACCTTTCCTACTATTGTAGTTCCTGTCACAACTTCATATTGTACGACTCATTTCTCAATTTCTTTTTTATCTCTAGATGCCCCAAACCATGTCTTTATCTACATCTTATACCTGCTCATTTTGTGGGCAAGTGTCGCACAACACTAGTGCGCTTGCTGCTTTTGCCGATGACTTTCATTGTAGCCAGGTAGATGGCTCTCGCTCTTACTTTTCCTGTTCGGGGAGTTCCTGACTAGCAGTCGTACAGTGTGGCTTGTCGGCATCCGAAGGTAATCTGCAAATGCAAGAAGACCTCGTGACACTCTTCTCCAGGCAAATGCGTATGGATATACCGATATTGTCTGGAAGTCAGGAGATGCCACCGTCCACCCATGCATCCGTCGCGCACAGTATCTCCCAGCATTATCATCACTCCTCGCATGTGGCCCGCTGCACAGTTTCAGCAGGATCACCAGAGAATTATGAGTCCTTGGGCCCTAATGTGACTCCAAACTCGGCACATGAGATGTTGAGGCTACAGAGCATTAACCCATCATCCCTGACTCCCACACAGCTACAGCTATTTGAGAATGCAATGCCGGAGCAACAATCACGCTTGGTCCAGATCTGGAGAATTTTCCCAGAGTCTAACGATGCATCTAGCAACCCAAGGATGGAGCAGATGAATCAGTCGAACTCCGAGCTGTGTGCATATCCTTCAGGGGGGCCAGCGATCAATGCAGGGATTTCAAACCAACCAACTCATACGGATTATACTGATGATCTGGATATGTGTGACTCAGTGCGCGATGAAGGTAACGATGGCGATGGACACCAGTATGCCGAGCCGTATATGATTTCCGGCTATGAGGTTCTTGCACAGAAAGACTACGAGCTTTCTGCATCTAAGATCGCGCCTGTGGTGAATGAGCCAACAACGGGCTCACCATATAAGCTGGCAAACGACCCCATCTACAGGGCTCAGGGCCATCGATGGTGGGAACGCTCCCAGTCAGATACGCCTGAATATCAGTACTGTCACGGCGTGGCTATATAAGGTGCGATGCCGGCAGATCAGACCGTAGGGTCTGATCATAGTGACCTTTTGACCCAGTGGAAAACGCGCCTGCCGGGCACACGCTTTCACAAGTATGGCACTTTTGGGAGATGAATTGGTATGAGGCTGTGGTCTTCTACAACCTAGACGGCTTGCGTAAATTCAGGCTTCTCGGGGTTGTGATTGGGTAGAAGGTTAAATTCGTCCTTATTAGATCGCTTGCTGTTGTTTCATATACGGTATTATTCTAAGTCTTTGTAAAGGATTCGATTATCCCTACGGAGTAGTGGATGTCGACTTACTCCACGCCAGGCGGTGAGTAACGCTGTTTTTATTATGTGCGGGGTTTTGGTCAGGCTTATAGTAGAAGTCGCAAAGGGCAAGGACGAATGATATACAAAAAAAGTAGGGCGGGTTTGAGTAGCCGTGCTTTTACTGGAGATCTTTGGTGAGAGAAAACCGAATGAGCCGTAGAAGAAACGGGTGGCAAACGGATAACAGATATAACTATAGTAACTGATTGTTGTGACGGCTCATATATAGCTGCTGTCCCATATTAAGGGGTCCTACTCTCACTTGCCTCCGTCTCTCCTCCTTTTTCTTTTCTTTTTTTTCCCCTCCCCCCCTTTTATAGTCTCCCTCGCCCACACATGCACCATCAACTAAGGGTGCTCAAGCGATGTAAGCATCAGAAAGGAGGAAGTAATGATGACCGTAAGTAGTTCATTGGAAAGAGTGACTCGGCCATAAATTCGCAGAGATATTTGCCACATACAAATCTCCAGTCTCACATATCCTAAGAAAGACACGGCTCCTGGGAGTGTCGACCTAATGCGAACACCGTCAGAATCTACTAGGGCTAACGTTTGCAATTCAAAGATAATGGATTTACTAACCTTCCTAGTACTCCTCAAGATCTGCCATAGCATCTGCAAGGGCATCGGCAGAACGTCTGGCGTCTTCAACAGCCTCAGCAGCCCGCTTAGCTTTGAGACATCCCTGACCAGGCAGGGCACACCACTTGGCTAATGCTTCTGCATCAGGCATGGCCTCAGCAAGGGCCTCAGCAGAACGTCGAACGTCTCCACTGGCGTCGGCAGCACGTTTCAACATGTAGCAGCCCTGAGCAGGCAGTGCGCACCATTTCTGTAAAACTCCGGCCTGCACACTGGTGGCTGCAAGAGCGGCAACGACGACAGAAATAAGCTTCATCTTTGATAACCGAGAGACTTTCTGATCAGAAGGTTGATAGGCAGTTTAGATTGAGTTGGTTGAAAGTTGTGAGAGTCGAGGTTCTTGATCTTGATATGAGACGGGCAAGAATAATGTCAATTATATAAGATCTTGGAAGCTGACAAGGCGAGACACCTTACTGATTGAACTCATGGGGTTGTATTCTCGATGGAGAAATTGCCTTATTCACATGTGGAAGAGGAAATGCAAGACGACATCAAAGACAAAGCACCACAACCCTGAATAGAACTTATTGAATAGGAGATCAACGGTATGTTCAATAAGACCCGCAATAGAGATGGGAGCAATTAGGCTTATGCATCTCAGAGGGAAACGAATAGTATCATATGTTATGAACCCCCCCCTCCGCTTGATTAAGCCTAGAATAGGCAGGACTTGTATACAATAAACTTCTGCAGACTGAAGCGGCAACCTGATTGAGCCCTAATTGAATGTTTCTTTTGTACATCACAGTGAGAAGTGTATTGCGCATCCACAGTGGTTCAAACACTGGCCTTTCCTGCAACCAGACCGATAACGAATGGGTTGTTCCATTCTTTCCAATAACACTTCGGAATAGTCTAGTTGCTAGATTGGACCATTAGGTATATAGCCTTTTTTTTGTCCCCCTATGAAAGGTTATTCATAGCCAGAAGAAGTCATCAATAAGGGATAACTTCCTAGATGAACTGATATGACTACTACAAGAGAGACCCTGATTGATATTCCAAAGGGGAAAAGTCGGTATATCAGATTGAGAACAATGAATACCAAAGTAGCGGAACAAGTTAAAACTTGAAGTGGGGATGGGTTTGCTAAGTCGTTTGTTTTCCTCTTTAGTCAACACAAAGAACGGAAAAGGTTCAGGAATATCAATACGATCTTTGTACTAAACCTGAGAATAATGAAGAAGAAAACTTAGTTACTTTCGGCAAAATGTTTTAAAAAAAAAACCTGATTGGAACAATCCAGAGACCGAAGAATGCATCAATCATGGTTTAAGCGGTTTTATAGAACGTAATTGGGCTGGTTGATTGATTATAGATTAATTGAGTGATGGACCCTAAAGATAAGATCGGCCCGGATCATTCTTATCCTTGGCTTTCAATGGATGCCGAGACGATCCGCCGTTTTTTCCGGCGTCTCGTGCACTCCCTGTCCTTAGCCTTGGCCTTTCTTTCCCGTCCTCCGTCTCTCTTCCCTCTGCACGCCTTTTTCTCTACTCTAGCTAGATTCGCTTTTCGTTTCTCTCCTCTCCCTCCCGCTCCCCCCCTGGTTCATTGTTAAGATGTTCTCCCTAAGGACAGCGCAGCCCGCGCAAGTAAGTATCTACACATACCCGATCAATGGCTGACTTCGAATTGTGTTCTTTGTTCATGGGTCACCCTTGTATCTTCCTTCTGCCCGATAGAAACTGGAACAGGCTCTATTTTCTTTTTTTCCCTCCCCCCTCCAATCCCTTTTCTCCCCTCATGCTCTTCAGTTCTGGTGCACTCCCGATTCGCACACCTCGTCAATTTCTTTTTTCCCCCGGAATTACCACCCTGATATGTCATTATATCATGTGATATCCCAACCATTTTCTTCGTTCGCTAACTTGCATCATGACAGTCTTTCCTCCGTCGCGCTGCAGTGACAGCTCCCACCGTCCGCTCCCCCTTGGCAGCAAGATGTATGTCGTCTATATCTTCTCCGTATGGCTGGTTTTAGATGGATCGTATGGTTGACTCGCGAGTTTTAGCCTTTGCTAGCGTTCAGTCGGACATCTTCAAGCCGACCAAGTATGGTGGCAAATACACTGTCACGCTCATCCCAGGTATATATACATGCTCAAATACCCATTGGAATCGCCTATAAACCTGCTAACACCTACTTTTTTTTTTTTGAGCAAAGGTGATGGAATTGGTGCTGAAGTTGCTGAATCGGTCAAGACCATTTTTAAAGCCGACAATGTGCCCATTGAGTGGGAGCAGGTAGATGTTAGTGGTGTTGACGCGGGCAACAAACATTCGGAAGAACTTTTTAAGGAATCTATCGCTTCCCTTCGCCGCAACAAGCTGGGTCTCAAGGGTATCCTCTTCACTCCCGTTGAGCGCTCCGGCCACCAATCATTCAACGTTGCTCTCCGACAGGAGCTTGATATCTTTGCCTCGATTGTTCTGATTAAAAACATCCCGGGCTACAAGACGCGCCATGAGAATGTCGACCTTTGCATCATCCGTGAGAACACCGAGGGAGAATACTCTGGCCTTGAACATCAGTCTGTTCAGGGTGTCGTTGAGTCGCTGAAAATCATCACTCGTGCGAAATCTGAGCGTATCTCTAAATTTGCTTTCGGCTTTGCCCTGGCAAATAACAGGAAGAAGGTTACCTGTATTCACAAGGCGAACATCATGAAATTGGCCGATGGTCTGTTCCGTAGCACTTTCCACAAAGTCGCCGAGAACTATCCGACTCTGGAGGTTAACGATATGATCGTTGACAATGCATCCATGCAGGCTGTGTCCCGGCCCCAGCAGTTTGACGTCATGGTCATGCCCAATCTGTACGGCGGAATTCTTTCCAATGTCGGTGCAGCTCTTGTTGGCGGACCAGGCGTTGTCCCTGGCTGCAACATGGGTCGCGACGTTGCTGTGTTTGAACCCGGTTGCCGTCACGTCGGGCTCGATATCAAGGGTAAGGACCAGGCGAACCCCAGTGCTATGATCCTCTCTGGGTCTATGCTTCTGCGCCACCTCGGCTTGGATGATCACGCAAACAGAATCTCCAAGGCTGTGTACGATGTCATCGGTGAAGGGTGAGTAGTCTGACCCGTTTATGGGATGCCTTGCTCCCTTACTGACAATTTCCTTTAGTAAAACGAGAACCCGTGACATGGGTGGTCAGGCCACCACCCATGAGTTCACTAGGGCCGTTCTGGACAAAATGGAGGCCGCTCTGTAAACTGCGGGACCTTGCCCGGCTTAATCGCTGTTCTCACGATAATGAAAGCTTGTATAAGCCAGTAGATTACTCAGTGAATGCCATGCTGGCTCTCTGGGTTTATGTCTTTACTGTGTATTATCTTTCGCTGAAGCGACATCGAAGGCGTCCTAACCACAATTGAAGCTTATCACAAATTTGCGGAGCTAGGATGTGTAAAATTACATACTAGGTTTTGAAAATAGAAGAAATTTCGCTTTAATTATCCATCAGCAGGATAGCTCCATCTGATATCCCACAAGCTTGAATGGGGAAGCCATCCTCGCGTCGCTCATTTTAGGGCACGCACCTCTTCGGTGTAGCGGGTTTTGGCTAAGAACCAACCCAATTTGGCAAGAGGAGAATACCACTGCAAGGTATATGCCCATAGATCATGAAGCTCTTAAGGACCCAGAAGGGTAGCTGTCTTTAGGATAATACCTGCTGTAAATGGACCTGCGCCTGGAGGGAAAGGGTCACAACGCGATAATCATATCCATGTCGTTTGTGGCCATGGCTCTCTTCTGCCTCGTTGTTTTCCGTTTCCTGCGCAATGAACCCAAGCACCAAAGAGATATCGACTTGATCAAGCACAGGAAGCCAACCATGGTCGTATAATTAGAAAGCTGGACGCCGCTTCCTACCAGTGTACCTAGAATTCTGTTTCACAACCTTGCCCTTTCTCTCCATTTGTTCCTTTTTTCGCATAATCCAAGCCTTATCGCCTTTTCGCGGCAGTTGCATTTTCCCATTCTCCATTGCCTTTCTTCTGGCATCCAAGATATTAACATCATCCATTCCATTCACAACGCCTGTAATATCACCTTGCAGACCACCGCCACCGACAGTCAAAACCAGGTACAGCTTGCTGTTCTTTGTCCCGGGATCATCCTCTAGGATGCCAGCTCCGAAACCAGCCTTGATGGCAGCACCGCTGATCATATTTCGCTGTGCATCATTTTTAGGATAGAACTGACAAACAGCACGGCCCCCACGCCGTAGGCTAGCATAAAGCCCTTCGAAAAAACGCCGCAGGCGTCCTTCAGGACTAACATCACTCGTTTCGGCGTTGCAGAGCCACTGGATGGCACTGATACTGATAGCTGCATCAAATGTGCCTGGGCGAAATGGTACTCCTTGTCCGATATCAGCAAGAAACAAATCACCTTCTACATCCCGTTGAAGGGCGATATCAAGCATGCTAGGTGAGATATCCATGCCCATCCAGGTATGAGGTCCCCCATGTTCAGGGGGCACTGCAGAAAGAATTTCGCCGGAAAGTCCAGAGCCACAGCCAATATCCAGAATCAATGACGGAGATCGAAGGTCAAGAAGTTCAAGTGCCCGATTGGTCATATCAGATTGTATGTTACGAATTCGCGAGGACGTGGTATATTTGCGAGATTCATTGTCGTCGTAGAAGAGATCAGGGGGCCTTTAGTCAGAGACAAACGAATAGTTGGTAAGATACCTGTGCAGTTTCTTCGGTTTGGGGATCTTACAAGACATCCTCCGGACGTGACATAGCTGCTACCTTAAATTAAAGTCTCCTTTTCTTAGCGAAGTGCTTTAGAACGTATGCCTTATTTTCAGTCGAAAGGTTGAGGCCGAAATGTTCAAAAGAAAATCTTAATAAGGCTGAGACATAAGCCCAAAAGAAAAGAGTTGAAGGACAAAACTAAAGCGACTTGATTTAGACCCTTGCTGTTTTCCCTTTTTGGGGCTTCCTTCTTTCCTATCTTTCCTTTTCTTATTTTTCTTCCCGGCCCATCTCTTTCTGCCGGAGGGGAAAAGGTGCCTTGTACGGTCTATTGAAGCCTGAGGCATGAAAGTATCAACATATGTGGTACTCCATAAATCATTGACCGCGAGTCATTCAAATCACCTAACATCCATCAGTTTGCCCCTCTATCGGCTCATATATCATAATCCAATTGACTTCCATCATCGGATGACTTACGATCGCCTGGCTTCATTTGTCCGCTTCCTAAACCTCAGAACATCTAATATAACAACTGGAGCTAGACTGATACTTTCAGCTCTCCAAAATGTGGATCCTACCCTTACTGGGATATCTGGGAGTTATTGTGGGGTTCTCATTTCTTACTTTGGCCATAGGTAAGATATGCGTGTTGCCCCATAACCGGCGGCTAGGAGCTGCCATGTTAGGATATCTTGCCAGTGAATGTGAAGCGAAATAAACCCATACAGCTGGGTTACGGCTCAATTGCTAATAAGCGCCTTCGATCGTACCGAGATGCATTGGACTGACGAATCTGTAGCTTCTGGGCTCTACTATATGTCGGAACTCGTAGAAGAACACACTGTTCTCGCCCGTCGCCTTTTGACTCGGTTGATATACAGCATTATCCTCATCCAGATCCTCCTATTCGTGTTTGACCGGTTTCCTTTCTCTCTATCCCTTCTCGGCATCGGCTCGCACATCGTCTATGCAAGTAATTTAAGACGCTTCCCCATCGTCAAGCTATCGGATCCTTTTTTCATTCTGTCCTGTGTCCTTGTTGGTCTAAACCATTGGCTCTGGTTCCGTCATTTCTCGAAACCTCTACCTGCATCGCGAGCTGCATCCAGCTGGCGCCAACCATACCAAATCAATGCGGAGGACATGCCGACTTTCACTGAAGTTGCATCTTATTTTGGGCTTTGTGTTTGGCTGGTCCCTTTTGCCCTCTTTGTTAGCCTCAGTGCAGGGGAAAATGTCTTGCCCAGCATAGGGTCCGAATATGCTACTGGTGATCATGTTTCAACTCCAGGGTTTGCTCGCAATACTTTGACTTCAGATGGGAAATCCAAGAACAAGGGCATGGCAAAGGCTCTGGTGGACAGTGTTCGAGACTGGGTCAAAGAAAACGGTGAATTGATGGGGTTTTGGAGAGGTGAACGCTCGAAAAGGTTCTGAGGCGCTACAAAACTACGTAATGAGTATTTTTCTGGTCCCTGCTAGCCTGGTTAATGTATTTGTACTACGATCACCGTTGACAGCGACAATCAATTGAAGAGCAGCATAAGTGGGTTGATTGGGCTCTGATCAAACTTCACACACCTATATAAATCTAGCTAAGGCAGCAGAAACTTTGCATTGATTGAAATTGCTAAGACGTATTGATGTAAGTATATAACGGATGGGTATATAACACTTTGAATTTTGTTCTCCAACGTGATTGGAACCAGACGTCGGGAGAGATACCGAAGAAGGGTGAGGACAAGGAGGACAAGAACATGATTTAAGCAGCCGGCAGAAGATAGGTATGTGTAAGTCATGTCATAACCAATAGAAGCATACCACCGCCCTTCCCTGCATTGAATATGACCAAAAGATAGCTGTCGTTTTAATCAAGGACGGGCTAGTGTGGGGAAAAGTTCAAACGAAAATGTAGGCAATGTGAAATTAGAAAAGCGAGAGCTATCTCTGGTAATTATCATTAGTATTAGATGTTCCCCTTTGGCGTTTGGCTGAATCTGGTCAGATCTGTATGTTCGAGTCATTTCAAGTTCGTTCAAATCATGATGGCCTTGGTCGTTGAAGCAATGCCTATGTCCAAGATCAACGACAAGGTGAGGTGATTGTGCGGGTGGGATAAACGCAGAACACACCCACACCCACATCCACATATATATAAAAGTGGACCGCTCAAATTCTCCTCGGTGCAGCCGGCTGAGCGCACAAAGCGCAGACGATCAGGCTAATAATCGTGAATCTCGTGACTTTAGCAAGGAATAGTCGAATTTACTCACCATCATCATCGTTCGTAGAAGGAAAAGGAGATCTAAGATGATTGACCTCCATGAAGAGTAGAGAGCTTTCTCTTCTGTTCGATTTGATGGAACGTGAAGCTTCAGGGTTTGGTGTCAACATCCTGCTCATTGTGGAAGAACTGGTATGCTCCTCGTTATTACTTTCCAGGAAGTTGCTAGAGGACTGATCGTAGCTCGTCTGATGTGTTATGCATTCATCACAGTCACGAGAATCCGCCTGTTTACGGAAATTTGTTTGAGTATGCAAAGTCGGCACCTCTGTCAGCATCTGGCATGGCGTAAAATGAGAAATTCCTGGGGATGTAGGACTACCCATGATTAGTTCCTCATTGTCGGAACGCATGCCTAGCAGGTCTTCGAAGATCCACTCAAATTCAGTAAGAAACATCGAGAAAACAGGTGCAGGTATGTTTAATGTTGGAGCAAAAACTATGCCAACATTTCTGACTGTCATTTTATTGACATCGGAGTTGTTCACAATGACAATCAAAAACTGGACCAATGCTCGCAGTAAAGCCAAGTTCGGTTTCGGAAGTCTGTGAACAAGTGAATTGAATGCTGCGATCTTATCCTGCCTTTCATTAAGTTCTGGAACGAAAACCGTTAGCATCAAGATTCGTTAACATCACTTCAGATCAATATCTGCGCTTACCAAGAACACGCAGAAACTTGATATGAAGTTCGCGAGTGAGAACAGTAGTGGGCAACTCTCGCAGATATTGTTTGAAAAGCGAGGCCACAGCATGTACATCGTAATATTGGTCACCGGCGAGGAAGTCCACATCCCCTTCAGTATTGAACCTTTCTTTGAGCGCCTTGACAACAATGTTTGACCCACTTAATCGAAATATCCCTTCCTCTGATTCTGCACCCTTGGCCTTGAGGTACTCGATGCAACGGTAGACTACAGCAGGTAAATCAACGTCGACACCCCGCGGCGCGCAGAACTGCACCGCCTCCGCCAATGGGATACCAAAGACTGGCCTGACAAAGTCCCTCTTATCACCCGAGATAAGGGTATGTGGTTGAACTGATGGAGAGTCATAACTGGCTTGTAGTTGTGAGGCAAGGTCGACTGACGATCTTGTGCGGAATCCCCAGATGCTACGTTTTTTTTCTTTGGTACTAGTTGCCGATTTATTGCCCCAAGCTCCCGCGTCCTGGATGACAGCTCCGTTTGTCGGTCCAGATATGAATCTAGACGAGAACTGGCTAGGGTCTGGCACATGGTTCGTTGCTTGGGTTGCATTTGTAGGGTCGGTTGGTGACAGCTGAGGGAAAGTGGGTGACCTCAGTACCTGTTGTTCGTAAGGTGGTCCGAAAACTGGTGGTTCGGCAGGGACAGCATCCTCATAACTAAATCCTTGAACTATATCGGGGCCTTCAAGATCCGAACTGTCGGTTGTTCTGTTGTTCTTGTTTCCATTTGGGGGCATTTTGGGGTTGACCGTTATGTTGGCAACGTGTGTACCAGAGGCCTGACCCTTGAAAGATCCACTAATTGATCCTTCGTTCTCGGACTGCCCTTCTACATATTCCAAGAGTGCCTCTACCCAAGAATCCCTCTCTTCGTCGCTTTCGGCACACAAAACATGTCGGACAAGAGCCGAAGAATCCTTTTTCTTTGGTTCCAGAATGAGAAACGCGTGGCGATATTGATTGTCGGAGTCATCTTCGGCTCGTGCAGGCGGGCTATTATTTTGACCATTTGTGCCCTGCGACTGCTTGCCAATCTGGGCATTGTAAATTTTGATAGTTCCTAGGTGAGGACCACCTGGCGATTCAAGGTACCTCAACTCGGGGCCATGCAGGACAAAATACCGAGCCTTCCAACCGCCAAAATTCTTGCCCCTTTTTGTTAAATACCCTTCTTTTCTGGGCTTACCATCTGGACCACGTAGTATTTCGGAGCTCACGTGTTGACTACCTTTTAGCAAACTGGTTTCATCGTCTCGTGGTTCAATGGCATCGGACGTGAGGAACTGGCATATAACCAAAGCCGCTTTTTCATCCATTGGCGTGTCGAGAAGGGCTTCGAAATATGCATTTATTGCGGCTCGCCTCGCATCCACTTTGGCTGGGGAGTGCCCACTGAATATGGTTCTGTCTGGTAGCTTCCCACCGTAGCTAGATAACTGTTTTACTTGCTGATCAAGTTGTGGAAGTGCCGCGATGACCTTTTCCACACGCCAAAGCTCCAGGTTTTCAGAGCGCGAAAGGACGCTCAGTGTAAAAACAGGCTCTTCTTCTGAAGGCCTAGACGCCAAGTAACTATTTCGGGAGGGGCGGAGCCGTGATGACGACACCTTAACTAGCACCAACGGCAGCGCATTTGGAGGTAACAGATAGCCTGGGTAATCTTCTGAAACTAATCCCCGATAAATACCATTAGTGTTTGGCACTGTGGACCTAATGCTTTCGGCTCTAACAGTGGCGTCGATCGAGGGGATGGATCGACTGACTACGTCGATTGGCAAGTAGGAATGTGTAGCGCTAAAGGGAGCCTGATACTTGCTGACATGAGGTGATAGAGCCAATCCCGAAAGGCCACTTCCTGAGGCTATCGGTAAGGAAGCCATGTTGTTGGTCATGTCTCTGGGCAACCGAGGCAAAGGAGAGTTGGGTGGGCGATCCTCAGGCCTTGGACTGACAGGCAAGCCAGGGCTTTTCGGCGCCATCGTGATAGGGTGATCGCCGAGAGTTATGCGAGGACTTAAAGGGGCTGTCAAAGACTCAGATTGTTCAGTGATTGAAGCTGCTTGTCGACACAAATCATCTGCAGGTGCCTTCGTTGAATGTGAAGATTTGTTCCTCGAAGAACTGAGCGCAATCATTTCCCGTGCGAGGACAGCTTCACGTTCCCGATCATCGTCATCGCGCGTTTTTCTTCGTCCCCGTTCTACGGGTAATTCATCAACTGCCAAGATATCCTCATACTCAGATTCAGAGTC